GTAGTTTCCACACTCAGTTGGGTCACCTTTCTTTGGAATGGGAACAAATATAGATCTCTTCCAGTCAGTTGGCCAAGTGGTTGTTCTCCATATTTCTTGGCACAACTTGGTGAGCTGATTAGCACTTCCATATCATTTATCCAGCAAATATTTATTGTGCATCCCAGGCATCAGCACTGAGCCTTGGAGAACAGAATGAGGTATAAGGCAGTCCTTGTTTCTTATAATCTAGTACTCATGCTCTCCTAATATGCCCTGAGTCTCCGTTTGTGATTCTTCTTCCAAATGAATAGCTTTCTTCATCTTATTTTTTCTCTTTAGCTCTATTTCCTTCTCCCTCCTCTCAAATAAGACTCCATCATTGCAATTCACTGCTCATCCCTTTACTTTTCTACCATCTTCCCCAAATTCTTATCTACCTCCATGATTTAAATCAGTGTTTCCTTGCATTTAACCTGTGAGTCAACTTCTCTTTCCTCAATTTATTTTCACATCCCCACCTTATCATACACCACCGCTATCACCAGGATACAATACCATCTCCTCAGATTCAAAAGGAAGTTTATCCTCCTGAGATCTTTATTTCTGTCCAAGCATTTAGTCACCAGGTTCAATTTTTTTCATTCCTCTTTGCCTCATCCAGTCAGTAATAAGCACTACTAGTTCTTTCCCACATTTATTCCTCTAATTGTGCCTTCCAGGTCTTCATTATCTAACCCTTAAATACCCCAGTAGTGTCCTAAAGAGCCTTCTGCTTCAGATTACCAATTTTTCTATCTCCTACTTCTATTTTATGCCTGTTCATTGTCTAATAAATGGTTTGTCAACTAATTATGGCCTCTGCCTCCATTTTACATACTGCCACCAGACTTACCTTTCTAACACGCTAATTTATACACACCAAACCATCATGTAAAGAGCTGTAACAGCTCCTCCCTATTCAAGAGATAAAATGAAGACTATAGTAGCCTGGCTTGACGGTTCAATAAAATTTCATTCTACGTTTATAAATTCCCATTTCCAGACTTATATCTAGAATTTATAAAATACTCGAGCACCACAAGATAAAGATAAATAATCCAATTGAAAAATGGGCACAGGATATGAACAGACACTTCACCAAGGAAGACATTCATATGGCCAACAA